ATCTAAAGTTAGATTTATCAACTTTTTTCTACTCATTTATTTTATCGATTGACAGTTCCGGCGTTATTACTATCAAAAAGTATAGATTATTTTTGATGCTATAAATGATAACTTCATAATCTCTATGTATTTCGGGTTTAAATATCGAGTTATATTTTTTATCGGCTATCTTTTCTACAGTTATCAAACTCTTCAATCTTTATATTTATGTATGTACAAGTATTTTGTAATTTGTCTTGCTTTCTCGAGCTTTTTGTTTAAAAAAAACAACATTATTTTTTTGTGGGGGAGGGGCTTTTAAAACACGCCATATATATAATGTTCATCTATATCTTCTTTTCTATTTATGTTCCATGTTCTTTCAGGGCGTAAGCGAACATGGTTCTCCCCTCTATCCCTTGCAGTTCCCAACAAGTTCCTTCTCTCCACTTCCTCCCCAAGACCAGGTTCTGTCATCCATTTACTTAAGCCCTCCAGGTATGTCATGCGTTGTTTTTCCTTGTCTCTCTTTCCCTGTATTCGACCAGTGAGTATCAGATTCTCCAAGCCCTCCTTCCTCATTATGACCCAGGAACTTTAGCTGCCTCTTCCTGGTGTTAAGTATAAGCCTCCTCGTTGTTTGCAATCTCTCTAAGACCTCATCGTTACTCACACGCTCGGTCCATGATATCCTTAGCAGCCTTCTATAGAACCACATCTTTGTCGCCTCGAGTCTCTTCTTCGTCTTTGAGGAAATCGTCCAACATTCGCTGCCATAAAGAAGGACAGATGTCACGTAACAGTTCAGTATTCTTTTCTTTGTTACCAAAGAAATCCTCCTGTCTCTCAATACTCTGCCCAGCTTTTGGAATGTGTCCTTGGCCATTCCAATACGTCTACGGATCTCAGTGTCGCACTTACTGTCCTCTGTCAAGACGCTTCCCAGATATTTAAACTTCACGTCTGCTTGATTCTAATCTTCCCGACCTGCAAATCGCATTTCGGGTTCTTCCTCTTACTGATGACAATGTATTCTAGTTTATGCTTAGTCCTATCTTCTCACTCTCCGTTGCTACCTTCTGTAGGTGATTTTGTAATTTCTTTTATTTCAAAGTTTGTGATAGCTGGGGGTGGTAGTGAGGACAAGTTCCTACTGTCTATAAAATTCCCCCATGGCATGCATCTCAAATAGCCTCTGACAGCCGGAGAAGGGATGAAGGCGGACCTCTTGCGCCTCATAACTAAATGATTTGAGTAGATGGAGCTGGTCAGCACTAAGGGGAAGATAATCTCGATTTTAAACCTCCGCTGCCTTCCAGTCAAATCCTAACACGAAAGGCTATGGATGTCCAGACAGAAAACCCGGAATTAAACCACGAAGACGGTTGGCTGACAACACTGCAACCGACCCCGTCACAAATGTAAAAATATTGCACCTATAAATATATATATATATATATATTAGATATTGTTATTATTTTTTAATTTGACATTAAAATTTTAATTAAAAGCTCCTTGAATTTTTAATTTTCAATTTGTTTCTTTATATGACGCGTTCGGCGGAGGAGGATTTGATAATTTTGCAGCAATACGCGCTTAAAGGTTTTAGACAGTTTTGATCAACATTTCCTTTCATGGTTAGTCGTAAGGAATTGTAAATGTAGGACTACATTACACTTAACTAAAATAATAAAATTTATTACAGGAAATATCAGGTTTTACAGAAACATTGTTGGTAATTATGTATTTAGTTACATAACAAATAAAAATAATATAAATTTTGATGCTATATTCAATTTGTTGTTAGATATTTTTCATTTTCTCCTTTGTTATTGGCAGCATTTTAGAATACTTTGGCTGTAAGACTAAGTTTCCTAAGTTGAACAAACTGGGGTTATTTCGTTTACGCTTTGTTACCTCTCTTTTCCATTGTTGTTTTTAGATCGCTTTCTTCCAGTCATTTTGATGGGAAATAGCGAAATTCTGAAATTTACAATGATCTTATTTCATTTCAAAAATAAAGTCTGGAAAAAAGGAATATTTTAAAATTAATATACGTCCAAAAATAACATGTTTTTAACAAAAAAACCTTAATAATTTCACTATAATTATGTAACAATAATGTAATGATATTCCGTAGGCATGGTTATAAAATATAAACCTAAATTGAGCTTGAAATATTGTGTAATCGGCTCCTTTTTCTAAAATACTTGAATATAATATTATGTATAATTTGCAGTGAATAAAGCAATTTTCGATTTCTTGTTGAATACGCCCCCACCTCCTCCGCCAAACGCGTCATATGAGACTTTTCTTCCCGAGACTGGAAATTTGTCCATTTTTGTGATAAGAGGCTGAGATTTTGTTCACTAAGTTTTTGTTCGCTGGTATTTTGTCCTTTTACCAACTTCTTCCAACCGTAACAAAAAGATAAGAATTATTCAATAAGATTATTCGAGTAAATTAAAGCAAATATGCAACATGACTGAAAGGGGAGAAATATTCAAAATAAGGATAAGATATATACATATATACCAATATATGTATATATATATATCACAAACATATCATATTAAGCCCTAAAAGCCATTCCTTCTGTTTATACGAAGAAGGCTGAAAAGCTTTAAGCTCTATAGTCGCTGAAAGTCTGAATGTGACCAGCTTAAGTCAGAAAAATACCCTCATGACAGTGCATAGAACACAGATGATTATATATGAAATGTTCTGCTATCGCAGACCCGGATGTATTCACACGTTTATACAAATTCTGAAACTGACCCTTATTTATAGACTCAATCCCTTTTCTAGCCGCGGAGTAGTTTTCCCTATATAGTCACCATCACACGAACATAAAACTAATAATAATAATAATACGATACGTTTAATAGATTTGTATTTGCTTCAACCATATGACCCTGTGACTTTTCCCATTCACAAAAATATGAACGTCAAGATGAAAATAATGTTGTCGACAAAATTCTCACCAACTTCCTTCAACCGAAAAGGTTAATACGAAAGCGATATCGAAAAAAAATGATGCATTTGTATCTAGCAGTGATGGCGGCGACATTAATGTATTTTTGTTGTTGTTGTTGTTCAATTCTGTTGTATCTGTGATGATGACGGCAGATAGAAAAAAGTGTGCCGTTTAAAAATAGGAAAATATACTGAAATTTGTTTCAGCCGGCGAAGTAACAATCAGTCCTCTACGCCCTGAAGAGTTACAGTGCTCGAAAGCAACGTCGGACAATCATTGCTACGACTTGACTATTGATGGGCCTTTCTTGTAAACATGATGGCCGGCTTATTTTTTTTTTCTTTTTCTAATGCTTGTTGACATTTCTGTCACAGAACAGCTGATCAGAAGACAAGAGGCACCAGCCGGACATTCTGATGTCTACCGAATCGTGTAGATACATTGCTGGTTAATGCGATTTGGTACAGGTGTTGAGAATGGTCTAATCCGAATTTAATGAAATCGTTAATCAGCAGATGTGGGCTAGAAAGGGTCAGCGAGTGCAAAGAGTCACTGAGTACAAAAAATAAAGATTTCTCCCCATTCATGATTGAATCTTCAATTGAGGAAAAGGTAAGGGAAAAGAAGAGAAGGAAAGAAAGGTTAAGCGAAAGGGAAAAGAGAAGGAAAGAAATGTTAAGAAAGATGAAAAAGAGAAGGAGAGAAAGGTTAAGAGAGAAGGAAAAGAGAAGGAAAGAAATGTTAAGAAAGAGGAAAAAGAGAAGGAGATAAAGGTTAAGAGAGAAGGAAAAGAGAAGGAAAAAAAGGTTAAGAGAGAAAGAAAAAGAGAAGGAGAGAAAGGTTAAGAGAGAGGGAAAAGAGAAAGGAAGAAAGGTTAAGAGAGACGGAAAACGTAGGAAAGAAAGGTAGAAAGGGGAAAGAGAAGGAAAGAAAGTTTAAGAGAGAAGGAAAAGAAAGGAAGGAAGAATATGAAAAAGACAGAAAGCAGTAGAAAGAAAAAAGAAAAGCGAAAAACGAAACAATGACAAAGTGGAAATTTGATGGTGAAAGAAAAAATGAATGGAAATAAGTAAAAGTTATAAATGGGAAGTAGAACAATATGAAAAGAAAGAAAGGAAGAAAGAAGAGAATAATAGAGAAAAAGAAAGAACAAAAGGAACGTAAGAAAGAAAAGAAAGAAAGAATTTGAAGATAAGGACAAAAGCAATGCATAAAGTGAATAAAAGAAAAAGAGAAAGAAATAATATTGAAAAAAAATAAGAAAGGAAAAATTAAAAATGGAAAGAAAGAAAAAAGAAAAGAAAGAAAGAGTGAAATGAATAATAATAATAATAAATAAATGGTTCAAAATGAAAGATAAAACAGAAAACAAAAATAAATGAAAGAAAGAAAAATAGAAAGAAAGAAAGAATGGAATAATATTGAAAAACAAAAAAAGGAAAAATAAAAAGAAAGAAAAATGAAGGAAGGAAGGAAGGAAGGAAGGAAGAAAGGAAGTGAAATAAGGGAAAAGAAAGGAAAGTGTCCAGAAAGGAAAGAATGAAAAAATCTAAATTCAAAAGGAATAAAATCTCCTTTTTTTTTCTATAAAAGGAAAGAAAAAGAAAATAATAGAAAAAGATGAAGACAACAGGAGTTAAGTTTTGGCGCGCGCGCACACACACACACACACACACACACACACACACACACACACACACACACACACACACACACACAATACAAAGACGAGGAAAACTGAATGGAAAAAACAAATCTATGCCTCTCTCTGTCTTTGTCTCTGTCTCTCTCTCTCTCTTCTTTTCCTTCAAATCATTTTTTTCTGTCTTCGATGATTGACATTTCGGTCAAACACAGGCTCGCGGAAAAATAAGACCGGATTTATCAAAATGGCTTCGTTATTTTAAGCTTTCTACATCTATTTCAATTTCATACATAGCCTCATATATACACACAAACACACACACACATATATATATATATATATGCAGATTTTACACAGTAATTCATTCAAAATAAGATGCGATTTTAGACAACACATAAACTAAACACAAACGTATCTTCTCTTCAATCTATCGACATTAGATGATGAGTGTAGATATGAACACAGAGATAGATAGATAGATAGATAGATAGATAGATAGATAGATAGATGACTATATATATATATATATATATAGAGAGAGAGAGAGAGAGAGAGAAACTGACAAACACATAGATAGATAGATAGATAGATAGATAGATAGATAGATAGATAGATAGATAGATAGAAGACTATAGATAGATAGATAGATAGATAGATAGATAGATAGATAGATAGATAGATATAGAGGGAGAAAGAGAGAGAGAGACGGAGAAACTGATAAACACGTAGATAGATAGATAGATAGATAGATAGATAGATAGATAGATAGATAGGCAGGCAGGCAGGCAGGCGTTCTCAGCAAAAACACGTCGCCCGCCACCAGCCAGACATGTTGTACACAGGTGTACACTTCAGACAATCAATGCCCTTTCGCACTCGAATAACCTCGACAACAGGATGACCCAGCAATGGACAGCAGCATGTTCTTGCATCATCTTTCCCCGACTACACACACCCCGGATGATTGTTGTTGCCGATCGTGCTCGTCTAGGCTGAATGTGTTGCTAACGAGATGTTCTGAGGCCGGGCCAGGGTTCAGTCGGTACAAACCGCCACCTTGGCACGAGACGGCGGTGGAGCTCTCTTCAAATACGCCATCACTCGCTGGATTTGAGATGAGCCATCATTGACTGAATTCTTTGCGCTTTTTTTTTTTTCTATTTTTCTTTTATATTTATTTCTTCACTCTTCTGTCGTTTGTTTCTCTTCGCCTATTCTTACAGATTTTTATTCTGTTTTTTCGTTTCGTTTCTTTTATCACTTGCTGATTTTTATTTTGTACATTTTTTTTTCTCCGCAATTTGTAAAAATAACACAATTAGAAACGTGCGCGAAAACAACGCTTTAATATCAAGGGGAAAAGCGTAGAACTTTATTTTCGAAAAGAACTCAATGTCGCACCTCATCATTTTGTTACAATCAGACGACAATCTGCGAGCATTGAGCAATACGGATATTTTTATCAGTTTCGTTATGATTCTGAAAATAAATTATTATACTTCTTCTTCTTCTTCTTCTTAGTATTATTATTATTATTATTATTATTGATCCTAGTGGGTTATCTGTCGCCTCTTTAAAATGCGTTTCTGGTGGGTTATCTGCTGTGGGTATTGGTGATTTTTTTACAAAGTAAGATATGGTATTTAAAATGTTTTAATTGTTTGTTTTTTTTTTAATTAATTTTTTTTCTTTCTTTTTTAGAAGAAGAAGGAGAAGAAGAAGAAGAAGAAGAAGAAGAAGAAGAAGAAGAAGAAGAAATAATAATAATAATAATGAATAACAAATTGAATTGCGAATAATAGACAAAAATTTATAGCGGCATAATCATGTCTGTTTATTACTAACCTATTGAAAGAAATTTTTCTCGTTGAATTAAAACATTAGTGGATATGTAATATTAATGGTAGGAATAAGAATAAAATTCTTTTTCTACACAGCAATGAAGGGAGGTAAACTAAATGAAGGTGTGCAAAAAGAAAATGGCGTCGTTGTGAAAAATAAGAAACTGTAAAATGAATGCCGCAAGCTGACTGAAAAGCAATAGAAAAACAGACATGACAGAGTAGGAACAATAATACATTGGGAAGTAGGCAAATAAATTGTGTTCAACCATGTAAAGAAATTGTTTCAACAAAACCAGAGGTTATTCTTAAAAAGCAAAAGAGATGTTGCTCGGTCAGCTGTTGAAAGTTGCTTCACTGGGTTGAGTTTTCTCTACAAAATCTACATATATATAAGTCTATAATTCATCCATGCATGGAATATTACTGCCACCATAAAATCCAAAGAAGAATCTTCAATATTATCGGTCCTGGCATCTTGCCTTCAGTCGTTTTCCCATCACCGTAAAGTTACCTCTCAGTGCCTTTTTTTTTTATAAATACTTTCATGGTAATTGTTCTGATGAGCTCTTCGCTATGGTGTCTAGGCTCTTTGAATTTAAGCGCAGCACTAGACTAGCGACAAAGTTTCACCAATTTGCAGAAGAGCCGGTTAGATGGAACCGTAAATTCTATGCTAACTGTTTCTTTTCTCGCAATCTCTCCTCCGGCTCCATGCCTTCCAGCCAACTTTAATTTGCAAAAATTTTAATGCAATGTCAATAGTTATCTATGTCCTCCTGATTACTCTTATTTTATTCTCGCTCCTTGGCAATGTTCCTGTTTCTAACTCTCCCACACCAAGTAACACCTTGTGTCTTAGTGGCTTTACTGACTTGTTTATAGTTAAAAAATAAGTAGACTTTTTATTTAAACAAGAAGATCTGATATGAAAAATAAAATCTGCCAGGTTCTCAAAATCATGATATTGAATAAGAATTATTTAATGAGATTATTCGAGCAATAATTAAGTGTGCCCGGAAAATTCGGTAACGGAAGATTCCGTAATTTTGTCAAGATAGAAAATTCGGTAACTGTGAAATAAAAGTCGATTGAAAATTGATTTTAAGGCCGTTCTGGAGCTGGTATTTGGGGGCTAATCCCCCCACCCCACACACACACACTATATTTTTGAAATAGAAATGAAGCTATATAGTTTAAACCTTAATTCATATACTACTATTTTTTTTTATTAAAATAATAATTTAAAAGAAGTTACAAAAACTTTAACTAAGATAAATCGATGATATTTGCTTGAAAGTATAGTAATTAAATACTTATTTAAAAAATATTTATTTCAAAATATTGGAGGGGGGCTTAACCCACTCTCATAATCCCCCCTCCAGAAAGTATGGCACTGGTACTGTTGCAGTGGGGTTCTATCTGGACTGGAACCCATGATGTTTTAAATATTAACTAAAAACATCACGGGTTCCAGTCTTCCACCCCCACCATACGTTTAAGTATTATTTAAACGTATGGTAGGGTTGGGAAGCTAGGTCCCCTCCAGAAAATACAGCCCTGGTATTTTTGTAGTAGAGTTTTATCTAGACCCCATTGTTAATAATAATTTTAAAAAATATTAGGGAAATGTATTAACCATTTCCCAGAGGTTCGTTGTTAGTCTATTGGGTTTACATTCCAAGTTGCATTTAGTAGAAGTAATAGTAACTCTAATCTGTGCTGGATGGAAATAGTAGTTTTAATTCCATGTTGGGAGTGTCTTAGAGAGACAACACACTCTTTCCGTTCTCAAATAAAGAAAAGTGCTTCAAAAGAGAAAATCTAAGGAAATTAGATTTATTTTCAGTTATTTTGAAGATGCTCTTACAGAGCAAAATGTTAACACAATAATAAATAAATAAATATCCAAGTGGTTTCCATGAATTCTTCTTATATATTCACGCATACAAATATATTAGATACCTGCAAAGATTCGATAAAAGATTCGCTAAAAAATTCGGTAAAAGATTCGCTAAAAGATGAGCATACAAGGATGAAAAAAATGCCACAAACTTAATAAAAACAAAGTTTTATCGTCAAAATCTTTATGCTATTATTAAGAGGAAAAACAAAAGGATTTTTATTATTAATAATTTAATAATTTTTTTATCCTTTTTAGAACGTCCAAAATATTGTTTTTCTGTCGACATCGGGTAATCATAAATTAGTAAAAGAAATTTTAGCATTTTTCGACAGTGAAAAACACATTGATTAGGAAATTCTTGCAAAAAAGCAGATAATTGTCGGATTTTAATGAAACCTTCAGGAATAATTCACAAATGAATGAAATTATTTTTTTAAAAATATTTCTTAGAAAATCTTGGTAAAAGTATTTTTTTACATTTCTTACCCCCACACATTTAATATCATGAAATTTCGAGAAATTCTTACCATGAGACAGGGTTCAAATCTCACCATGGTCGATTTGATGTCATCGGACTAGAGGAGTCGATCCCAGCGGGCCGCACCTTTGGAAAGTGCCTGAAAACCATACCACGGCTTTGTGAATGAAATTTGGTAGACGTATGGTTGGGCTAGCACGAAGTCACAAGTCATCGTGCCCGAGGGATTGAGTGTGCTAGTCTTGTTCAAATTGTTGAACTAATGTCTGCTCAGCATATTTGCAGTATAAACCACAGGTGGGCTCTGTGGGTGTTGAATAAACACAAATGTGCCTGCGCAATCGTCTGCAACGGGGACTGGCTAACCGCCCTAGTAGACGGTTATCCTCAAATATGAGTGGCCATTTATACTACTTCTATACTGTAAGGACAAGTTCTAGGAGAACTTAAATCATCAAATAATTTTGCTCACACAACACCCCTAGTTAAAGAAAATCTCTGGATCGTAAAATAAAAAATGTAATAAAATTAAGACATTATTTAATTAGAAAAGATTTTAATTTGTTTTTATGAGTAAAACATATTAAGGAGAATTATTGTCGTTACTCTCCTGGGCCCCTGCTGGAGAGAAGGCAATGTTCCTTAGGACATGCGCAGTGCCAAAATAATTATCTTTTATAAAAACAAGAGCGACCGCACTGACTGCAGTAAAAACCTGTTAAGAGTTGTTGGAAAACTCTTTGCCGAGTGGTTTTAACGGGACTCAAAGTCCTTGCTGTTCGCATCAATCCAGAGTTCCACTGTGGATTCAGGGATAAAAGATCCACAGTTGACATTATGTTTTCTCTACGTCAGCTCCAGGAGAAATGCCGTGAATAACAGATATCACTATACATCGCCTTTATCGATCTCTCAAACGCGTTCAATTTTGTTTACAGGAAAAGTCTGTTTCAGATACTAATGAAACTTGATGTCCTCCTTTCTGAGCATCAGCGCACGCTTTCCCGAGAACATGCAGGGTTTAGTCAGCTATGATGGTGAAACTTCAATGCCTTTCACTATATAGAGTGGCGTAAAAAAGGGAAACGTTTTAACACCAACTTTGTTTGCTCTATTCTTTTCCATGTTATTGAGATTTGCGTTCAGACAAGCCAAAGAAGGTGTATACTTACACACAAGAAGCAACGGTAAATTATTCAATTTGCCCCCCCCTCCCTCACTCGAGGGCAAAAGTACGTACAGTCCTCGTCAGGTAAATGCTGTTTGCTGATGACGCATCTCTGACCACACACACCGAAAACAATCTCCAAAAGCTGATTAGTCAGTTTAACCAGGTCTGTAAGGAATACGGCCTATTAATATAAAAAGAAACAATCGTCATGGCTCAAGATGTTTCTGTATTTCTATCAATCAACACCGATGACACCGAGAGCTTGAAGTCATACTATCTAAAGGTATTCTAGGCATATTAGTAAATATGTATGTATGTATGTATGTAGCTATGGGTAAAATAACAGGACAGACTGGGTTCTATAGCCTTGGATGGCAACTGGTCTAGGAGAAGGACAA